ACATGGAGTCTTACGTGGGACAGGGATTGACCAGATAGAGATGTGGCCTTACCAAAGGTAACACTGCTCAGCTCAAGAAGTTGAGGTTACGGTACATGAAGGAAATTGCAACATCAGAATTTAATTTACTTAAGTGTAGGAATATCTCTCGAGCGTATCAGTTCGTGTCATCAATCCCGTAGGTCCGTAGTGATTTTCGTGTACTTGGTTTAATGGATATTAATTCGCAGTTTTTGCTGTGGTATGGCTTCCTTTTTGGATTTTTTATACAGCTACCATTGTTATTGTTTATGGGTGATGAAATCACTATTTAGTTTGTTGAGTTCTCAATTTTTTTGCTAAGTACGGGCTGCACCTGTGTACCCTTGTGGGGTCCCTAGACATTTGTTTGTTCACAGTTGGTTGTGTGTTTATTAGTGACAAATTTATGGTATTAATTGCTCCGCCTTTATTAAAATTTCATTGTCTACTTTGGTGTGGGTTTCGTGTGTGTTTGTCGAAATGCAAAGTGTTATAATTCCGGGTGCACAGCCTTGCACGACTAAATGAATTCCGCTTGTTTTAGTAAATGGACAGATGTGTGCACTTTGGCACCATACTGTGTGCATGATCAAATATGTATAATACACTGCCTAGGCTAATATTCCCGTATATGTTTAGTAAAATGAACACATGTGTGTACGGTGGCGTTAATCTGTGTGTATGAACAACTATATAAACTATATAAATGTAAACTATGGCTAAGAAGTCAATTAAATGTACTCAAGTGACTAGTTCACCTTTAACTTGTGGGCTTATTAAAGCAAAGCACATGCACATACTTGCACTTAACTCTGTGCATTTATATCTAAAGAAATTGCAACCATGGACATTAGCTAAAAAAAAATTCGCAACAGTGGCTAGTTTACTGTTAGTGAATTGGTCTAGTAATTATTTAGGTGTCCGCACGGTAGGGTTGAACTGTGTGTATGGGAATCTAAATGAATTGCAATCATTGATAATTACTACATAAATTTCATATACGGGACTAGTTCGCTGTTACCTAATAGACTTAGCGAATAACTACACCTGTGCCATTCTGCGCTAACTGTGTGCATGCGCTAACAACATACGTTTGCATGGTATATACAAGAAGCATAGTACAAATTAATATGACATTTTTTAGTCTATAAAAATGTTTTGTATATTTAAATTGATTTTATAAAAGGTGCATTATTTATGATGTTTTACTATGTATGATGATGAGAAGTAAAATTTTTTTGCACATACAGTTAAATACCGCTACTATTTTGTCTTTTTAAACTAAAACATGTTGTCATATTAAAGTAAGCATATTATAAAGAAATAGTGTGCATGGGAACTAAATAAATATCAACCATTGATATTATAAGTTCAACGACGATGTAGTTCAACTTCAAATGAAGTTATTATTCATACTATTTTAAACCGTGTGGGGTTATTCGGCTAATATGTCTTGTTTGTCTGGACAATTTCGGCTGTCGTGGCTGGGTCGGTCACAGGTAGCGCACGTCCGTCTTCTAGAGTTGCAAATTATTGTCCGACGTATGGTGTGCTTTCGGTTTTGCAAGTAGGTAACCACTGTTTTGTTCCATCGGGTAATATAATCATATCGCAATCCGTTACTCCTGCTCCTCTATGATCTTCACCTGTATATCAACAATGTTATTTTGTTAATAGTAGATGCATTATTCGGCACTGGCAGCACTATTAGAATTGTGTACGCTAAGACAAACGAAACAGTAAACCCGCACTTGGTCATCCATTTTTTTCACAGTCTGTGTCTATGTACTCATGTGTGCACAGCCGGCTAATAACGTGTGCACTAGTTCATACAGACCTCTACACCTACGCCCCACATGGTATACTGACTCCATAAGTGCTAAATTTGCTGAATTGTATACAGATTATTCAAAAAAATTCTGCTACGAGTATGGCCATATTCAAATTTGTCCTATTTTTGCAGCAGGAAAAAAAAAATTTAAAAGACACGCATTACACATTGTTCATTACCGCACAAACTACATACAATGATTTTGGTAAGATATACTGTGTATTTACCTGGGTTTGGAGCATCCATGTAGTCTGGTGTGGCGTCGTAATTTGGCCGGTTTTCGCCGTGAATGGGATCTTCTCTCACGTTCATGGTTGCACGACGGAATCTCTTTGCCGTTTGTATAGAATTTTTCGTTCGCAGGGATATAATGTGTTCAAATCCTACCCAATTTAAACTTCCTTAACCGTTGCATATTTTAGAAATCAATTGTATTCCTTTTCTAATCAAATTTTTCCGCTTTTACAGTGTTAATACATTCCCAATTTTGCCCTTGTCTACATTAATTAGAAATCTGTGTGTCATTATTAACCTTTCATCCAGTCCATTGATCCAATGATATCCTATGGCTAAATTATGTCCACACATTTGTATTTTAAGGGGGTTTGCATTTGAATGCAACCCTATATATATATATATATATATATATATATATATATATATATATATATATATATATATATATATATAAAATATCAAACTTGGATTCTGCGTGCTATAATTTAAAAAATGAATAATACTTCACAATTTCTATTCTATTTGTTTTCCATACTTAAAAGTGTTTTGATTCATTTAAAAGAAATTAAAGACTCATAGTGTTTTTTACTTTTTTTTTTTTTTTTATATTCTTTTGTATTAATAAAATCACTTCACGTTGCAGGAGTTTATTCCATGAGAATTATATATGAAAAGTAACTAAAAGCTGAAAAGGTATATAAGCTAGAAACTGAAAACTGAAAACTGAAGAGCTGTTAAGCTAGTTGAATATGCTTAAAAGTGTTTGGTAAAATTAGTATTTGATAAGCTGATAAATATAAAAAGACTAAAAAGAACATCTTCATAAAATTTAAATAGTTTTAAATTTAAATAGGTTTGTTTACGTATCAAAATTTAACATTTTGAAATGAAACTATTAGCATAATCATAATATAGCATAATAATGGAGCAACCTTAAATCTCCAGGCCAGCTGTCCCATCCAAAAGAGGTGCCTACAATTCAGCGAGGGGATTAATCACTGTATTCGATGGTAAAAACCCTGGGTATACCAAAAAAAAAAATCTAGCATAATAATAATAACAACAACAACAACAACAACCACAACAACAACAACAACAACAATAATAATAATAATACTAATATAGGAGAAGGGAAAATGCCACAATGATTTTAATTGGGACTGGGGAGGAGTAAAAGATGTCATTTATTAAAAATAAAAAGATAAAAATAGAAAAAAAAATTAAAAAACTACTAACTTATTTTGAAACACTATCTAAAGTAGCGTTTCGAAATAAACCCTTAAAACTATTAACTTATTTTAAGAATATTATCAAACAATAATAATATAAAATAAGTTATAAATTTCTAAATAAGCTCAGGCAAATAGAGTCATATCATATTTCAAAAGTTGAAAGAGAAAGATACGGGTCAATAATGTTGCATTATTGGTACTATACGTGGACAGCTGATAAAAGCAGCAAAATATTTGAATTGTGGCCATTATACACTACTGAACTCCAACCATTCATTCATTTCTTGGTAGATTTTTGCAATTTTCGCATGTAACGAGCGCATGCATGCATTGCATATTTTAATTTTCACATGACTTTATGCGCAACCACCATTATTAATGATTAATCCATTTATCACTACTATATGTGTACACCCTGATGTGACTAATAAAGATTGATTATTTTCATAATGTGAGTTCAAGAAAAATGTCTACATCAAAAATTTGTGAAGTAAGTAAAAGTTTGAAATATGTTATGGGAGAGTCCACCAAATATTTTCTTTTACTATAAAAATCTTAAGATTTTGATCTAATGAGTTGTAGTAATTGTCTCTATCCCAAATGAGAGGTCATGGATTCGAGTCTGGTGGGAGCGATATTGACTCTAAAAAAATTGCCAGTAATACTAAAAAAAAAATGTCTCTATCCTTCTTATACTAGGTGTTTTTTTTTTTTTTTTTTTTTTTTTTTTTTTTTTTTTGGGGTGTTGTAATCGACAATTTCTACTACGTTGCATTGATTATATTCTCCAACTATTACATCCTATCTGAAAGGTTGTGGTTGAGTCATCAATCTTAGATATATACAAGAAAATAATAGATAAGATTATAGGAAAATGATATATGTACTCCATAGACTCATAGAGTATAACTCTTGTCACATGTATACATTTTGTTGGATAATAAAAGTGAATAAAAACAATGACCACTTTATTATTTAAATCAATTAAAAAATGACATCTCATTTGGGATTAAAAATGAAGTAGAAAGTGGAAATACATGTTAAATGAATGTTTTATGTTTGATTAGTAGTCAAATCATGCATACATTATTATCTCATTAAAAAGCATGTCAAATACAGAATTTATGAATTAAAAACATGTGATTTTGTGTGATCACAAGAAATTTAATAGTTAGGTGCATGTGTATTATTTGTGGACTTAGCACCTCCACCGCCCGCAAACATATAAGAAAAGGAGTGATAGAGAGGGAGTGTTGAATTTCATTATGTAATGACGATCTGGTGTACTGGTATTGCATCTGGACAAGGATAGGGTTGTTGAGGCCATTTGCGAAATTAGAAATTTATAATGCTATTTGATACAATTATTTATTTATGGTATTGTTTTTGGTATTCCAAAGTGTTTGACATACAAAAATTGAACTCGTGATCTTCATGTACAAAAGTTATATTTCATCCACTCAGTCATACCTTTCAAGACATTATTTATGGTATATTTGGTTGTATAAGGTATTGTCAACATTCATTATGCGGGTGTCTGACAAATAGCGGTTAGCGAGTTTGACTAGCCGATAGCAGTTGTTGGTTGTAGAAAGATGTTTGGTAAATTAGTTGTTAGCTGATAGTTGATTACATTCAAAATGACCTTTGATGGTATAATTTATTTTCTCAAAAAGCTGATCGAAAAAATTGCTTTGAGCAACTTTTTAAATTTTAGCGTTTTGGAGCAATAAAATGTTACAAAAAGTTGATTAACCTATGAGATTGTGATTCAATAATTCAGTTACAACAGGATAGAACTACAATACAAAAGGGGAGTAACTGTCGTAAACTACTCCTGATTAATAAGCTAGACTAAGCCACAACCACACAATTAATAAGGGAAATAATAACACTAATAACAAGCTAATAATAATAATAATAACTACTAACATAACCAAACACTTATATTGGTTGTTTAACCAAGTCAAACAACTTACAGTGCCAAAATTGGCTGATAAGCTAATTATGTTAACAAACATGGTCTATTATATTAGTATTTGATATAATCATGTATATCAATTTTTTTTTTAATACCTATCACCTCCCACATATATAGGAGAGCAACATGGTATCATTGGAAAGTGTAAAATGATGTCATTTTTTTTAAAAATAATAAGAATAAAGATGGAAAAAATTAAAGTTAAGAAGCTACTAGCTTATTTTGAAATGCTATTTAAGGTAGTGTTATAAAATAAGCTCTTATTTACATTTACGAGCTTATTTTGGCAACATTACCAAACAGAGCTTATAGCTTATTTGTAACTTAAAATAAGTTATAAGCTCCTAAGAGCATCCTTATGAGTTCGGTATATTAAGGGGAGATTGTAAGAGTGAAGAGAATGTGGGAGGGAAGAGAAAAAAAAAAATCAAAACTGAATTTCTAAAATTAAAAAAAAAAATTAAAAAGTGAATGTCAGGCGCACCTGACGCACAGCGTGGCCATGCTGTGCGCCAAACACGCACAACATGTGGTCCTTTTTTTTTTTTTTTTTTTTTTTTTTTCCACCCCTTGCAGGCCAATTCTTTCCCTCATTATTTCTTCCCCACACTAGTTATTAACCCCACCCAAGAAAAAAGCATTCCCAATTCTCTCCTTATTGTAAATGCTCTAAATAAGTTCTGCCAAACAGACTCATAATCATATTTCAAAAGCAGGTTGAAGCAGAAAGATACGTGTCAATGTCGCATTGGTACGTGAAAAGAGCTGATAAAAGCAGCAAAATATTTGAATTGTGGTCAATATACACTACGGAACTCTAACCATTCATTTCTTTATTGGTAGATTTTTTTCAATTTTCGCATGTAACGAGCGCGGCATGCATATCTTAATTTTCACATGACTTACCGCACCCTTCATTTATATATCAGTTTATCACTACTATAAATATCATCTGCATATACCAACTAAATCATATAATACTAACTGCCACACGTAGTCTACTGAACTAAAACTAAAACCTGATCTGATCATGGCCTCATCTCCATTTATGGCTTCTCAACCATCTTTTGCCTTCACCGTGACAAGGCTAAAGCCTGAGCTTGTTGCCCCGGCAGAGCCGACTCCCCGTGAAATCAAGTACCTTTCCGACATTGATGACCAACAAGGTCTGAGGTTTCAAATTCCACTTATACAGTTTTACCGCAATGAACCTTCCATGAGTGGGAAGGACCCCGTGCAGGTTATACGTCAGGCTTTAGCTAAAGCACTTGTTTTTTTCTACCCCTTCGCCGGTAGACTCCGGGAGGGACCTGGGCGGAAGCTGATGGTGGATTGCACCGGTGAGGGCGTCATGTTCATCGAGGCTGATGCTGATGCCACACTCCAACACTTTGCCATTGGAGGCGAACTCAAGCCTCCATTTCCGTGTTTTGATCAACTTCTTTACAATGTTCCTGGTTCTGCAGAAATTCTCAACAGCCCTTTGTTCCTTATACAGGTAATTATATATATATATATACCTATAACTCAATTGGTTTGTGGGTGGTAAATTATAGGTAAACACATTAAGTCTGTGATGGGCACTGTGCAGCCAACTCAATTAGTTTTTGGGTGGTAGATGGTAGACAACAACCCAAGATTGATCGAGCTAGTTCTTGGGTGGTAGATTGTGGGCAATTGCACTTGTGGGAGGCTAGGTACACCCAATATGGTAGACTTTACATGAGCAACCCAGTTGGTTTCTAAGTTAGGACACAGAATCTAACCATGAAAGTTACTATGAGCGTGAGAGTTGCATCTAATGTGATGAACTCCTCCGGAGTTGACTAGAGAAATTTACATTTTGTGGGTCAGTTTACTTAATTAGGCGTATACTAATTTGGATGTGTTGATGATGATTTTCAGGTGACTCGTCTAAGGTGTGGAGGTTTCATTTTTACGTTACGCATGAATCACACGATGGCCGACGCATCTGGACTAGTCCATTTCCTGAATACCATTGCCGAAATTGCGAGAGGTGCAGAAGCACCAGCGGTTCAACCAGTATGGCAAAGGGAATTTTTCAGTGCCCGCAACCCTCCCCGCATAACATGCACACATTTCGAGTACGAGGAGGAGCCAGCAGCAGACTCAATGGTAACCAACATTCCACTCGACAACCTCGTCCATCGTTCTTTCTTATTCGGACCTACAGAGATTTCCGTGCTACGTAGTTCTCTCCCTCCCCATTTGCGCAAATGCTCGACAGTTGAGATTCTAACAGCTCTCGTGTGGCGGTGCCGCACCATTGCCCTTGGATTCCACCCGGACGAGGAAGTGCGCATGCTTTTACTCATCAATGCACGTTTTAAGTTCAAAGATACCCCGATGCCAAGTGGGTACACCGGCAATGCGTTTGCTTATCCCGGCGCCAAAACGACAGCCGGCAAATTGAGGAAAAACCCACTGGGTTACGCGGTTGAGTTGGTCACAAGCATCAAACGTTGCTTTAGCGAAGAGTACATGCAATCCATGGTGGACTTGATGGTTCTTAAGGGGCGACCGCCCTTCCATGTTGCCGGAAGTTTTATTATGTCGGATCTCACCCGTTCTAAAATATCTGATGTGGATTACGGTTGGGGCAAGCCTGTTTTTGGCGGGCCGGCTCATGGAGGTGCCGGTGATGTTCCAGGTGTGATTACCTTTCACGTGCCATATGAAAATAAGAAAGGCGAAAATGGCACTTTGATTCCTATTTGCTTGCCGGCCTTCGCATTGGACAAATTTGTGAATGAGCTAGCAAATACTTTTCTCAGGGCTGCTTTATGAATGTCTACATAAATAACTTAGTTGGTTTTTGAGTGATAAATTGTGAGCAAATCAAGTGTTAAGATCTTTAAGATTCAGCATTCTGTTGGGTTGGACTTCCCTCCTATGTGAAAAATAGCTCTTGGATCAAGCCTTTTTGTATCCAATATATATTTTGTTTGGATCTCCACACATCTTAGCCCTAATTATTATTATCATTATTATTATTAATATATAATAATATTAGGGATTATGAAGAGTTGGAAACTAAGAGTCCTTTGGCATCTTGTAACCTTTCATGTTCTTTATTACCTATAAATATGCTTAGGGATTTTGGATGCAATATGACCACTAAACACACACATATGTTGATTCGGCAGAGAGGAATGGTAGACGTGAGGCCCGACAGTGAAATAAAACAAAGATTTTTTTTGCTTGTCTCTTTGTCTCCTTTGGTAGTTCGGCAGCAGCGTGTTCGGCGGGTTTCATCCTTTGTCGCATGTTTGTTGGTTTTGTCGTGAAGTTTGCCGGAGATCTTGGGATACTTTCTTCATCAAATATTTTGGAGAGGTCAGCTTGTTTGTTCTAGACATCTTTTGGGTATTCTCGTAGTATTTATATTCTTTTTCACCTTGCTCGTGGTGGTTGAATATTTTAAGTATGAGTTGGTATCCCTTTTAGGTCTGTGAAACATCGTAGAAGTCTATGACCTAAAATTGTTGTATTTGATGATTTTTGGATGTTTGGCTCGTGTGGTAGACAAAAACTTTGTACCCAAGATTTGTTATAGTAGAATATTTGGTTGTGGTGGTCCCGTGATTTTTCCCCGTGATTTTTAGATTTTCCACGTAAATCTTGTGTCCCTTCCGTTATTATTTATTTTGGGCTATTGTGTTATCTCGCATCTGTGGACCGTGTCGGGGTCTGTGATTCTCATTGTCACAGGAAGTGGGATTTTTCCCAACACATTCTTCATTGGGAGAAATAGAGTATATGATGCTTTATATATATATATTTATATATATATATATATATATATATATATATATCAGTTGTTTATGCACACCATCAAATAAAAATTAATTGTCTTACGACATTCAATTCATAATCAGAGCAGTAAAAAAACAAATTTTTGTACCCCATAATGCCAAGTTTCAAAACTGGTTGTACTATATTTACCTCCATTGTCTCATAAAGGGTCAATAGAGATTGTGTTGCACAAACGATAAAAGGATATATAATGAAATCCTTTTGACTAGATATTATGATGTCAATATTATACCACGTAAAGTCCAGAAGAGTCACGAGATTATTACAGAGTATATTTATTCCATTGACAGTTGTACATGTGTATTTACAAAATTCCCCTATACATTTTGGAAATTTAATGTATGGAACTTAAAGGTTGTTATCTTGAGGGGAGTACCTTTTTGCATGAATCAATCCTGAAGATTGGGCCTTGAAGACTAACAGTTGTACTCTTTTCCTTAGCTAAGTTTTTCCATAAATCTAAGGTTTTTAATGAGACAGTTAATCTAAAACAATAATACACATACATCACTCTTTTCCTCAACTAGTTTTTTTTCCACTGGATTTTCTAGTGAGGTTTTTAACGAGGCATGAGTGTAATATAGTAATGTAAATGGGGAAAAGTTGTAAAATAATTGCTTAAGTAGACAAACCCAAAATCCTGAAGATTATGTCGATTATGCCTTGAAGACGTATGGTTGTACTCTTTTTTCCTTAACTAAGTTTTTTTCCCATTGGGTTTTCTTAGTGTAAGGTTTTTAATGAGACAACTAATGTAACACATGATTATCCATATATCATGTACTCTTTTTCCTCCACTAGGCTTTTCCCACATGATTTTTCTAGCGAGTTTTTAACGAGGCATGATTATCGCAAAATAATGTCCAAGGGGAGTGTTGTAAAACCTTATGTGGACATTATTCTGACTTTATATTGATGATAGGATTCTTAATATTATAGGATTGTTAATGCTGCAAGTCCTAAATTAAAGGCTATTATGATAGAGATTATATATATCTTTGTAATGTTGTACAGAGATCGATGATGATATAAGAATTACTTTTCTTTGTTCTTTACTCTTCTTCTTCCTGCTATTATTACTCTTTATTACTGTTCTCCATGAGCTAAAGGCCTGCAGATAAACCTGCAATTCAACAATTAATAGATATACTCTGTATATATTAGAGAATATTAAATTAATTTATAATTAAACTTCATGTAGGGCCCAAAGTTTGAATGAGAACTAATCTAGGATTAATTCAATTGATTTTTTTTTTAAAAATAAAGTCTAAAATTATACATTTATATGTCAATAAAAATTCAAAGTTATCCTTGAATTATTTTCAATTAACACAATCTTTTGAAATATATATATATATATATATATATATATATATATATATATATAGGGAAGGAATCAGGCCGCACTACAAAAAAACATTGAAATAGCGACGGACGAATTCCATCGCTAAATAGTGAAAATCCGTCGCTAAAGTGTTTAGCGACGGATTTTATCCGTCACAAAAACCCTCGTCGCTAGAATTTAGCGACACAATTTTTTTCGTCACTAGTTTTAGCGACGGAAATGTCCGTCGCAGAACAAAATAAATCCTCGCTAGAGTTGTTCCGACAACGGATTCGAAGAAAAAATTTGTGAGCAAATAGCGACTGAATTTTCTGTCGCTATTCCGTCGCTAAAAATAAAATTATCCGTCATTAATGTTCTACTATAACAATCCAACAACGAGATTTGCAACGGCGTAGCTACGGATTTATTCGTCGCTAACAATAGTGACGGACAGGTCCATCGCTAGCGTCCGTCGTTAATATAATGACGGAAATTATCATCGCTATTTTTTATTATTATTTGAATTGAATGTCATTTAGCTACAACTTAGTGACAAAAAATCCGCCGAAAAATTTAACTACAAATTTTTTCGTCGCTATTTCGTTGCTTGTCTACCAGATTTGTCAGTCGCTAAATTCTAAAAATTAATAAAACAAATGTATCCACTAATTAATATAAAAAACATGCATTAAGCCTATAATAAAATACTTGAGTAATATAATTATAAAATATATTATATTAAAGCATTCAAAGTCAATAACAATAATATAACTATAGCAGTATAATGTTACATCATCAGAACCAGTACCAAATATATTAATAAATATAATCTAATCATCTCCTAAGTTTTCATCATTTGAATTAGCTGAATGTTGAGCTTGAGTACTTGGAGTGGATAGCATGCCGTTGCGACGCAACTCATCCATCAAATTTGCAATCTGAGCTTGCATTTGAGTTTTTTCAGCTTGTAGTTTAGCTTCCATCTCAGTTCTTTCAGCTTGTAGTTTAACTTCCATCTCAATTCACATGGTCTCTAACTTTTGGTTCACCATCTCCTTCATTGCCTCTTATTGAAGTTGTGAAGTAGCAGATGAACTACAGCTATTCTCGGGGATAAATGCAGATTACTTAGTCCCTAAGCCATAAATACGTTGTTTTCTTACCCCACCAACAACATCCACATACATCTGTGACATGTCTATAATTGGTGGCTTAGTTGACCCTTCCGCCTCTAGCATTGCAGCATCACGTCGTGCTTGTATTTCGTCCTACAATTAAAAACATATACAAAATAAGAGGAAGTATATAAAGGCAAATAAGAATTTTATCTATTTAACAATATAGAGTTGTTAGGTTATACTTATATCGATTTTCTTGAAAAAGAGAGAAAAAATGTTAAACTATTAACCCAAACTAAAGACAAAAACTAATGATGTTATTAAATTAGTTGGAGTGTTGCATATTTACAGTCAGTTGTCAAAACAATATGAGCAATGCCTTCCCTGAACTTGCATTTATATGACGTATAGTTAGTTGTCAATAAAACTCTAGGGCTAGCAAAATATAAACTGATAAACAAGTGAATAGTTGTTCAATCAAAACCTCATAGCAGTGTCATTGACCCAAATGCAATTAAAGATGAATTGATGGTAGAATTCTGGAATGTAAATGCTTTGCCCCATTTGAAAGTTACTGGAAATTCACCAATTAGGCAATTATCAATTAAGACTCACTTTTTTGACCAATTAAAAAAATTATACAGAAACTAATGGATTTTAATTATGAAGTTTTGATGAAAATAGGGAGAAGAAGAAATTTAAGTTTGTTTCCTGATTGCCAAATTCAATGGTTATGTCTTAATGAAAAGTAGGATATAGAATTGTACAAAATAGGGATACCATGTATTAGATTTTATTATATCTTTTTCCAACTCAAATTAAGTTTTCTCTTTATCACTATTATTCCTTCCCAGGTTTAGTAAATAAAACACTTGTATGTCAGCCTCACATTATTGTCTATGTTTCATCACCCTTACACTTTTCATAATATAGATGCCATACACTAAGCACAATGGTTATGCAAGTCATATTGATTATCAAAAGTATATATGCCTTGATCTCTCAAGAAGACTTAGTATTTTCTGTAAATTTAAGCAATGTATACTTATTTGAAAGTTGGTGAGAGAATATTTCTGCACCATTACAGAAAAACTCCACTTCTTGCTTTTTAAACATATATCGCCACTTATGCCCTAACTCCTAACTTATTTCCAGCAGCAAGTTAGATTATAACTCCAGGTAGATCATTGAATGAACTTATAACAGTTCCTAGAAGACAATAGTTTAGTAAATAAATATACTTATTCTGCAACAGATTATATTTCTAAGTCTAGTTGTGATAATACGTAATCAACGTGCAGCAGGGAAACTATTGATCTATGTTCATATTTGAATATAAACCTCCACTTAAACAGAAATTTTTCATTATGTCAACATATGGAAGAACTTCTGTTATAAATCAGTCCTTTGGAAGACTTAAGATTCTAATCTCCAAACCTGGAATGTCAGTCAAGCAACAGGAATTTATTATTCACATCCCATCTCATCAATAACAAATAGATTTATCAAAGTTTGGAGGAAAGATTTGTTAAGAGAAATTCTATCATTTTGAAATTAAAATCAACTGCATTAGGTTTACAAATCAAATTACATATTGTTATCAGAAAATATAAGATATTTCCAAGCTACTTCAAAAGCATAAAACATCTAGTGATCTAGAAAATGTTTTCATAACTCATAAAA